ATCATTGTTGTCATCAGATTAGTCCCAAAATATCTTTCCTGATCCTCAGCAATGTGCAAAAGCAGAGCAGGACCAGGCTGATGGCTAAAGGTGCTGACACCAGCGCGCTGAAGACAGTGTACCATAGAGTTATCGTACTGGCCGGATAAAAACGTACCACATATACAAGAGTTAAATCAAAATGAGCTGACTATGCACCCATATACAGATTGGTGGACCAAACAGTACCATTAACAGTCAACATATTAGGAGTTAGCTAGAGAAACATGCCGTGCCCTATTGTTCTTGTCTGCAGCTATAAATCTAGAGTTGTACCGGCCTGCATGGCAGGTTTGGTGAATAATCTTGTCGAGATTAACTGAACAAAGGGGCAGGGAAGGAGAGAAAGAACCACACCTGATCCAGTTCCAGCATTAGGACAAATCATAGTCCTATAAAAAAAAGTAAACGCCCGCCCACCCACACACACACACACGCGCGCATACTCAGACACACAAAAAGTAAAATAAACGCCATCTCCCGTTATTTCAATATAAAACAGTCTTAGTGTCAGTTTCTTTGCCCCTTGAGTTTGGTAAGAGAGCTCCTCCCATGCAAGATTACATTGTTTTATCACAGTTACACATGTATGCAAGCTGACGGTGATGAAAGCAGCTAAAATGTTTGGATACAGGACAAACAACCCAGGAAGAAGTGTGTACCTACAGTGTGAGGTCTCTCGTCTGACAGTTTGTTTCATAATAAAAAGTGAATGTTCCTCATCCCTGCAGCAACTTCCCCTTTAACTACAAGTTCTGCTTTGAAAACGGCAGGTACATTTCCTGAAACGATAAACACCAACTCTCAGCGAGGGACGTGATGATTCATTTCGGAGGAAATGCACGCAACACGACAAATACATCCGTCTCTAATGTCGCACGGAACAACCATCACTTTTCTAAGCATCGAGAAGTTAAATGGAGGCGGGCGCGTGCGTGCGTGCGTGCAGGGTGATGAAGTTGGAGAAGTCTGATGAACCGGGGGAGCGTGTTGCGTTGGCGAAAGGTTTACATCCGTCTTATTCTCCCGGCCCGTGTGTAACTGTGGGCACAATCCGACTGCTGATGTGATCTGCTCGGTGAGAAGTGGGGGCAATGATCCAGCAAAACATCCTACCCACCACTCAACAGGGAACATTCCTGTCCTTTTCTCACTGTCTGGGATTGGCCACAGTGTCAGCTACAGGGAAGGGACACAGACACACGCACACAAAGCAGTGGAGTTAAAATAAAGTAAGACCGATGGACACAAACAGCACTATAGTGATGGATTACGTCCTTCGTAATGATTAACTCTTTTCACCAAGCATCTGTGAAACATTAACCTGGTATGACTGGGGGGAAAGGCAATGCTGACAGGATGAACACTGAAGGCATTTGTTGTGAAAGGAAAAAAAAAAGAGAGGAAAATGCACTTATTCTTTCAAACTTGGGGATTTTATGAAAGTGCTTAGATGTAGTTAGTTCACTCTAGATGAAGCATTGAGTTTAAATCCTGACTGATAGTTGACGGCATACCAGTTTTGAATTAGTTTGAGCTGTTTTTTTGGAGCAAGGACCACCAACATGCAGATCCATGTCTGCCTCTGTGCCCTATTCTGTCCCTCTGATGCTCTCTAGAAACCCCACCCCAAAATGCTTACTTCATTAGCATCAAAAGGATCATATCACAGTGCTAGGATCTTGGCCTCTTTTGGCTTTAAGCAGGCAGCTGACCGTAAGAAGAAGAAGAAAAGCCTTGCCCTTAATTGATCTTATTTAACCTCAATAACACCTGCATCCCTGCGAACATAAACATGCTACAGTCCGACTGATGCATAGAATTACAGGATCAGTTTCACAGTTTCCTCAGGAAACGTGTCCATCCAGGTACAGGATGTGTGCAGTGGGTCACTCTTGGCTGTGGTAAAAATCAGTTTTCTCAGCACTCGGTGAAGTCAGGAGTTGGAACGTCAGAGTGAAAAGCCTCAGAGCGGCCGTCGCCTAACAGAGCAGGAAAAGCATTAAGAAAAGAGAGAGCTTATCACCAAGAGTAAAGAGTGGGATGTTGACAGTTGGGAAGAAAAAAGTGGGAAGCATTGTTGGAGGAAGCATATAAGGTAAACAGAAAGGAGGAATAAAAGGGAAAGTGAGTGGCAGGCTCATAGTAGAAGAGATACCAACTAGACAGCTAGAAGACGGTGGGCGAGGTGGAGGGGTTGCATTAATAATCGAGAAAAAGTGTAAAGGTGCTGGGAGTTAAACATAAGAAGGGGCAACAGCTGGTCAGTTGCCACAGACTGTGGTGTTGTCGGAGGAAGAAAGAAGTGATGGCGGTGGGGAGGAGCAGAGGTCCAGCGCGGAGAAAGAGGCAGCGTCACAGTGAAAGGCACACAGAAGGAGGGGAAGGAAGGAGGGTGAGGCTGAGCCCAGGAGGAAGAGAGGTCCACTCAGAAAATGGTGGTCTCGTACTTAGTGCTGATAGTGCGCTTGGATTCCTTGGGGTCCATGAGCCACGTGGCACTACCCTGGGACTGAGAATCGCCTTCCTGCTCCACGATGTCCCCCTGTGAGTACAAACAGACAGCAATGAAATATCTGAATCTTCACATACGAGGCTGATTACACTTTTTGTAATGCTTAGATTCAAAATGCAGCAATGAAGTATTATTGTGCCAACAAACTGGAATTGTTTGTGGTGAAATTTAACCACATTTACCCTTGAAAATGTTGATGTTTGTGTTTAAACAGATTCCATAAACTATGCAGTATCAAACCTATCCATCAATTATCATAAAATTACAACCCCGATCCCAAAAAAGTTGCAATGCTGCGTAAAATGTAAAGGAAACAGGATGCAATGATTTGCAGATCTCATAAACCCATATTTTATTTATTATATTAGACAAAAAGGTTTTTAACTAATACTTTTTACTATTTCATGAAAAACATTAAGTCATTTTGAATTTGATGGCAGCAACACTTCTCAGAATAGTTGGAGCTCAAAAGATCAGAAGTACTATGTGATGCACTGCCATCTTCTCTGAGCCAAAGCTCTGAGGCAACTTGGAAAACTGTTATGTGGTCAGACAAATCCAAATTTAAAATTCTTTTTAGAAAACACGGATGAAAAGTCCTCTGGAGGAGAGGGACCGTCAGGCTCGCCGTCAGTGCTCAGTTCAAAAGCCTGCAACTCTCATGGTATGTGGGTGGATCATTCCCATGAAATAGGCAGCTTGCACACATGGCAAAACATTATTGCCGAAAGGTATCTACAGGTTTTAGAGCAACACGTGCTTCCATCCAGATGATGTCTTTTTCAGGGAAGGCCTTGCATTCCCTGAAAACTAGACTAAACCACATACTTCATCTATTACAGCCGCATAGCTTCGGTGCTGAACTGCAGTTCAGACCTTCCACAATTAAAAACAGTTGACACACCATGAAATACAACAAAGAAGACACAGAACTACTGAGCAGCTAAAAACAATACAATAAACAAGAATGGGACACATTTCTCAGCTGAAAGTCCGGCAACTGGTTTCCTCATCACCCAGAAAACGACTTTATTTTTTTTCTCAGTGTAAACAGTTAAAATGTTTTGCGTGTTCAGATATCAATAAAAATATGGGTCTATGAGATTTGCAATTTTTGCAATTTTAACTTTCCCTGGTTCTCATTTTGCTGAGCACTTTTGGGAGTAATTAGTAAGCAGCCAGTTTTGCTGACTTTTTATTGATAAAACATAATAAAATTTTCTCTATGTATATCATAAAGGGACTTTTAAAAAAAAACTGTAAAAGTTTAAATTAAGTAAAAACACTCAAAAAGAATTCTGTGTACAGTATATAAACTTTGTCTGTCTTACTACAAGCGTGTCACTAGAGGGCGTTGGAGTTAACAGTATACATCATGATTTGTCGTTTTCAACACAGAGCAGTGAAAATATAGTGAAATAAACAGACAAAAAAGTTTACGGGCTTTTCAGGAAAGTCAGAGAAAATAAGCTGTGACAGAAAGGCAAAAAAGAAAAAGAAAAAAAAAGAGTGGGTGAGAAGGGTGGGGATGGGATAGGAGGCAGCACCTGGGCAGCATGGCTGGCAGAGTGCAGCGGTAGGAAGGAGGGACGGTGGTTGGTGCAGGTGTAACAGTAACAGCAACGACTGTCGAGAGGAAGAGGAGAGTCCTGGGAGAAATAAACACCACCAGGAGGGAGAGAAGCGAGCCAGACGGAGACGAAGATTAGAAGAGAAAAGGGAAAGTGCACAAAGAACCAGGAAGAAGCAGCGACAGAGTCAAAGAACTTAAAGGGCGGGAAAAGTGACACAGATTTTAACAGGCATGACACATGAGGAGTCTGACAGGTCGCACACAACACAGAAGACACTGCAGGTGCATTTTGAAGCTTATATGTGCTCATCGGTGCGGATGTGTGTAACTGAGTATGAAGTGCATGTGTGCTCAGGTGCTGATTAAACACATTTAAAAATGTACATGTAAAAAAAGCCACACAGATGAAACACACTGAACAGAATTACATTGTTAAATCATTGTGATCATCAAGCTGCAGCTAGAAATGTGTAACTTGTCCCCGAGGTGGACTTAGCTCATTTATATTCAGCACAAGCTTCCCTCTTAATGGTTTAATGCTAATGCCCAGATGGACATCAGCATAGCATAACCACAGTGATGTCGAGAGGTGTAGACTGATGCAAGCAATCTAACATTGTTTTTGCTTCCACAAAATTAGGCGTAAGCTGCAAATGTAATCACAAAACACAAAAAGATTTTTTTCTGGCAACTTATTCTATAGTTGAGGTTCACTCGAGGTGCACAGAGAAGTAAAAAAAAAAAGGATTTAAAATTCCAAATTTGCTTGAGAACATGTTGAACAATATTTCAGCTTGATTTGGTTTTTTTACTACAACACTTAACAACCAACTCACCGCTGTTTTGCGTATGCTGCCTCGTGGTTTGGGCACAGGTTTGCTGGACTTTGTCTCAATGACCTCTGATCCAGATCCAGCTGGGACGCTCTGGTGCGGTTTGGTCCTCTGGGCCTGCAGAGCCAGCTGATATGCTACCTCAAACGCCTGGCCCAGTGTCAGTATAATCTCATAGGTCAGGTTCTATACAGAAAGGGAGAAAGAGGAGGATCACTGAGTCATTACAAGCCTTCAGCCAAAGGACCACCACCATCAGAGTGTGCAGCGAGACAGCAAAACGTAACAGAAGAAAGATTTTTCCTCCAAAACTTCTTCAAAACAAAATTGCATAAGCTGAAGAAGTGGCAGTAATCTCAGGAGTATTGTGCAGCAACCCCCTGTTCCTAAACTAGATCCATCCTCTGTAGCTCAGTAATAAAGCTGCTGGATTATTCTGTTTTACCCTGACAGCTCCCAGGTACGAACAAGCACTGCAGACTAAAGACAGATGATTCATGCTTTATACGTTATGCCTTGGGAGTCTGAAAAAGCAATCCGATGGTGGGCACAACAATCATCATTTGAAGAGACACATAACACAGAGCTGTGAAATCCTCTTTACATCCTTTGATGTAGTAACCTGCCCTGAGATAAAGCACTCCATATACACCAATACGCAGAAACTGAACATCTCTCGTGTGTAGTGACGATTGTGCCTGGCGGACCCTGAAAGCAGCCATGTAGTCAGTACAGTTTAAAATAACCAAATAAACCTCATGGAGATTCATATGGACACTTTCGGTAGCAGAAGGGACACGGCAAAGCTGTGGTAACTATTTGACTCATAGCGTTTCAGTGTTTAATGACTACCAACAGCCCGCAATCAAATACAAAAACATTACTGTCTACAGCTGAAAACTTTTGTCAAGCTACTACTAACATAACGGACAGGTTTTTGACGGGGCTGCGACACAAACACAAAGCAGGAGATGAAGCATCGCCAAGTAGGTTTCCAAACCAACTTCCTTCCAAGTCACTGAGCTACTATTACTGTTCAAGGCCCACAGGTACCCTGAATAAGCAGACAAACTGCAAGCTGAGATAACTAGCAGATAAATCTGTACTTTGTTTTGAACACGGGGGAGAAACTCCAGAAGTGCAAAAACTGCAGTTCCTCCGTGCAAAGCTTGAAGCTGGCTCCAAAAATGACAAGACTTCCATGTTAAAATGTCACATTTTACAGTATGGTACAAAAAATATTTTGGCTTCTGTGGATTGTTTCCCCCTTCATAACAATTTAATAACATAATAATTGAGGACTCATTCTGAAGTACTAAACTGTAGCTCTTCACCGTCTGCCTACTACTACTGGTGACTTTTAGAACATTTCTAATTGATTACATGACTATCCATCCATCTTCATCCACTTTATCCGGGGCCGGGTTGCGGGGGCAGCAGCCTAAGCAGAGAAGCCCAGACCTCCCTCTCTCCAGCCACCTCCTCCAGCTTATCCAGGGGAACACCAAGGCTTTTCCCAGGCCAGCCGAGAGATATGTAATCCAAACCAACGACCCAGGACACGCGGGAGAGATTATGACTAATACTGTTCAGTTTGTGCTCTAATGTTTTATCCATCTGTTTCTTACATTAATTAGCCTGTATGTGTGTGTGTGTGTGTGTGTGTGTGTGTATCTATATTGCATGCCACGAGCTGCTGTTTATGAATGCAACTTGCTAAGCGCTAGCTGCTAAGTAAACCCTCCACCCTCCCATCTTTGTAAGATAACATTAGGCTCTAAAACGCCAGCATATAAAAGCTTCAAGAGCGATGGGTGAAATCACAATCACACAATCATCTTTTATACCATCTATAGTACAATAGAGCCCAGTGCAAGTGTCCTTACCACATCTACTGTGCTGAAGACATGGCAGTAATGGTGGCTGGTCTGCAGGTCCTTAGTGATGTAGGCAAATGTGCACAAGTCCTCTGGGTCCTGGGCTGCACAAGAAATGTTACGGATCTCGTGCTCTGCAATGATGTTCTGGACCGAGAAGGGCGACATGAGTGTGGTTTAGTAACGAGAGTACACAGTGCATTCTTTCATTTTTTAAAATTTTTTTTATTTCATTCCATCAACATTGAGACAATAATGCTGTTAGAAAATGTTACAAAATAAAAAAAAACTAAACGGTTAAAGGAGAGACACCGACTGCCAGCCATCACAAGTGCAACTACAACAAGACCATGTTGAGTTTCAACATTTCAAAGCCGTTTTTTATTAATGTCAACTAAATGTCAATCAGATTTGCTTCCTATAAAGAAATATAAGCACAAACTAATCTGACACAAACTTGCAGGCATGATATTTACAATCGCAGAAAGAGAGGAAGCTTGATGTCTGACTGCGTCACTTTCATGCACACATTAAAAAAGGAAACATGCTGTTATTTGCCCCGGCCTCAATTCGATGTATCACACGCCTCAAAGAACACGTCTGGTTAAGAAGTAAACCTTTACGCAAAGAGAAAATGTGTATGTACGTGTGTGCGTGCGCATGTGTGTAGTCGCTAACCTTGTTGGCTGCGTCGATAAACTTCACACCCTTGTATGTGATTGAGAGGACGATAGTCGGGACTTTTCTCATTTGCTCTGTTGACCTCTGGAGGAAAGATTAAAAGTACAGGTCAGTTGCCAACACGCAAACAATATCTATGAGTTTATCCTCAGGGATTGGAGAAACATGTCATACCCGCATTTTGGCACAAGCATCCTGCGTGGACTCAGTGCCCCTTAGTTCCTTAATAAGCATGGAACCAAGATACTGTAATGAAATGGAGGGGAAAGACATTACTGCTGATGTGTTTAATCAACGAAGCGGAATCATGTAGGAAGAAGAATGGTGCATACGTACACTAGCTTCATAAGCGCAGGATTCAAAGATGAGTTTCTCCGGTTGGTGATGCCAGTTCTGAACCGGGGCGTACGGTGCTGCTAGACTAGGTGGCCGCAAGGTCAGGCGGGGCTCTCGTTGCCAGTCTTCATGTCGCTCCTATAAAAATAACCATAACTATCAAAGAAGCCTGGCAGAGGCCCTCAATAACCATTAACACACTCGCAGATATACCACATACAGGAGGCCTGTGTCGTTCGCTGCGATATCTTTGGGTAACGTCATAGTCGTTTTCTTGTGCTTTTTTCCTCCCTGGCTCGCCTGCAGGCAGCAGAGGGTCCATTGAGCGTCCTGTGTAGGGCTCCATCTGACTCATGGGAGATGAAGTCTGGGATCCAGGCAGGTCTTGGCACTGCGGAGATGTAATATGACACAGTTGGGTATCTCATAGAGGTGGGAATCACCATACA